TGGGCCTGCAGCAGGTGCCATTTGGAATCCACCCCCTGGCATTATAATGATTACCCTTCGCGGTTCGCACGGAAAAACAACGAACTAGCTCGACAATCTCGGGGCGGTGAAGAGTAGGTAGGAAGACACGCGCGCACAGAGTGGTGTCAGATCTTCTAGTCGGCGAAGGGCGTGGTCTCACGGTATGATCGCATGATCGTGGAATGAAACCACATGTGCGCAACGCACGCTGACATTGGATCCTGGCACCACTGATCGTGGACATCCACTCTGGGGAAATTGGCGCGTTGTTTTCCGGCCAACGCAGACCTGCGAAACCACTCTGTATAATGCTGATACGGAAAGCGTGACAGCTGAGGTGCGTCGCAGCTTCAGACGCGTTCCCCATTCGGCTGTCGCCCTCGCAGCACGCGCCGTGCGCTTCGTCGAAAGCACGCGGGCCGGGCTTCATCTCGCAGTACATATGATTGCCCCGCACGCGTGCCAGCGACAAACGTGGGCGCCGCACTAGGCCAATTGCAAGTCTGCTTCACCTGCATTTAGGACATCGGTCATTTGTCGCGTGGCTCTAGACAAGAGGTCAAGCGGCCACCTATCTCCTTTTGGGTAGTTGATCGGATCTTCACTAGCGTCGCGCGGGCCTACCAACAGGCTGGCAAGCTCCCCTGGCGCCACCTGATTCCCGCTGGGCAAGGTAGACGCACGCAAAGAGCTCGCATCGCGCCCCATCCGCCCAAAACGCGCGCGGCAACTAAATGCCGCGATCACTTCGACCTCGGCGATGGCGACTGCATCGCTTCTGAACCACAGGGGGGCCATCATCTCGCGAATCCAGTAGCCCGGCATCTCTTCACCAATCCCCATCCCCATCCCCATCCCCTTCAAGACCACCACCAAATTACAACCCCAGTTGGGGACACACCCCTCGAAAAATCGAAGGGAACGACCTAGATCCCCATCAAGGGGGGGGGGGGGGGGGGGTAAAACGGCCAGCGGGCCCAGAGCACGCCGCTGGGGATGGGGATCGGTTAAACGGTACCTACACGACCACCCTGCGGGTGATCAGGAGGTTTGAGGGGGGCTAGCAATGGGCAGCAGTGGTGATTGTTGCGTCGCCGCTCGCTCTTGGGAGCCTCGGTGTCGAGTTGTTTACGTCATCCTTCGCTCTTGGGCGCCAAAACGCAACTGAACTTCTGCGCCTCCACTTTTTCGTACCTCTCTGTGAACGTGTCATCAGGGGCCCTCGGGTCGAAGACCCTCACGTACCACTTGGCCTACTTGGCCGTCTGGGTGGTCATGTTCTTCACCGCGTCCACATTATTGTCGAGCATCTCGACTGGCAAAGCCTGGCCGCTCGCGGCGACGCCGAAGGGAGTGCGTGACCGAAGTGGGTGCGTTCGCGGCCCCCCCGCGCGCCGAGCGCAACAGAAGCCTTGAGCCGAAATCCCTGGATGGTAAGAGGGTTGAGGGGGGAGGACCCAACGTCTCACTCAATCGATCTCACAATGGACCCCCGTATCGCTTTCACAACCGATCTCACTCGATGGATCACACTATCGATCTCATTCGATCGATATCACTATCGATCTCACTATCGGTCCCAGTCAATCGATCTCACTATCGATCTTTCTATTCATCTCACAAGCGATGTCATTATCGGTCTCACGATCGATCTCGCCATCGATCGCACGATCGATCCCTCGATCAATCTCACAAGCGATGTCGCTATCGGTCCCACGATCGGAGGGACCAGCAGTCCCACGATCGATCTCACTCAATCGATCTCACGATCGATCTCAGTCGGTCGATTCCACTGTCGATCTCACTCTGGAGCTCGCTATCGATCCCACGAACGATCACCCTATCGATATCACTCGATCTCACAATCGATATCATTTTTCATCTCACGATCGGTCTCACTATCGATCTCACGATCGATCTCACGATCGGTCTCACTATCGATCTCACGATTGATCTCACAATCGATTTCATCATCGGTCTCACTATCGTTTTCGCACCAGCGGGACACCGGGACACCGGCGGGACACCGGCGGGACACCGCGCGCCACCGCTTGCCGGAGGGAGAATCATTTGGTCCGGCCAGGGCCCAACTACAAGCGGGACACCGGCGGGACACCGGCGGGACACCGCGCGCCACCGCTTGCCAGAGGGAGAGTCATTTGGTCTGGCCGCGCCTCAGCCACAGGAGACTTTCCTGTCGCCCGCCCACGCAGCGTCGCCTCGCCCGCACGCACGGCACGCACGAACACGAAACCGAAACCGATTTCCCGGAGGGGGGCTCTCCGTTCCACTTCGATCTCACCCCCCCAACCTCCGACTCAGTAGCGGCTCCGGCGGGAGATGTGCCATGTGCGGGCCCCGCGTGCTTTGCCATACTCGCTGCCAGTAGCCACTACAGCGCCGGGGGCCGTTGCAGGGCCAACGGTCTCATCAGTCGTCGGGGTCGCTAAGGTGGCCCTGGGACACATTAAAATAAACCAAATCCCAAAATCCCCTATGTTCTCAATTTTTTGGGGGGTTTCTGTCTTCCCCCCACTTCCCATATTTGAGCAAATTTTCTTGGGAATAGACGATTCATTGTGTCCGAATGTTTCCCCTCCTGAGTCGCTAGCAACTCCTGTATCACGTCCAGCTCCTGCAAATCATCTCGAGGCCCTCGCGTCCATCCAGATTCTTTTCTTGGTGCTGGACGAGCGTCGGGCATGATTGTTGTAGGTTGTCCGCCTTGGTCAGTAGTCGTAGACGTTGCATCGGCGTAAAACTGTTTCGCTTGGTTCGACTTTCGCTTTCGCTTTCGGCTTGTTTCAAATATTATCATCGATCGTCGGCAGGTCGTCGGAAAGTTTTGCTATTATGAACTTTATAGCGTCTCTTAGCCACTCGGGCTCCGCAGCATCATCAGCTGAAGTCACCTCTTCCTTTGTGGGGGGCCTCTTTCATCTTGTTGCGAGACTGCTCTTCGGAGAAGGTGCGGAAGGGACTCGTGGCCCTGAGAAGCAACGATCACTCGGAGCCACTCCGTGTTCCCTTGTTTGAACTTAGCGACGACTTCCTGGACTCGCCCCATATTCCCCTCTCTATCTCTCTGTCTCGAGAAGACGGAGAAGAAAACTTTGGCGTTCCGCGCGGACTGCTTGGATCCGCGCTGGACACCCTCCCTGGCGGGTGGAGCGCGCCAAGGGCGGCGCCAGAAGCGGGGCCACAGCAGATCCAAGAAATCCGCGCGGAGCGCGAGAAGTTTATGTTTATGTTGTTGTTTCTTCTTCGACTCTCTCCATTTCTCTCCATGTCTCGTGTATGTATCGTTCCCCCTTTGTGGGAAAAAGGGGGAGGGGGAAAGCCCACACAGCAGCTCACGAGGCAAACGTAGCCCAGAGCGGGACAGCACGTCGGCGGCGTCGGAGCTCACACCGCGTCTCATCGAGCCGCCCCTACCTCTCTCTCTCTCTCGCTCTATCTGTAAATCGGGCACGTCCTCTACAGGAGGGAAATTCAAGAATCTCATTAAAAAATAATATGAGGACGATGTTCGACTAATGTTGACATTTGTTTGTAGAATTTTGCAGTGTCTTCCATTTCTCCATTTGTCTTCCAAAATCTGCCTGTAGGAGGACATGCCCAACCTAACTCTGTCTCTCTCTCTCTCTCTCTCCCTCCTCCGCGCGGGGCTGTGCAGATCTATGTTCATGCCGTTCTCCTTCCTTCACTGTCTCTCACTCTCCCTCACTCTCTCTCCCTCCCTCGCTCTCTCCCTGTCTCCCGCCGGGCTTGGGGGCAGCGGTTCTCCTGGAACTGCCGACGAGGCCGGTGGCCGCAGAGCCTGCGGGAGGGGCCAGGAGGGGGGAGGGAGGAGAGAGCTGTCCCTCCTCCTCCTGCTCTGCAATCGATCGCCCGCCCGCTCACACTCCTCCATCGTCCTACCCCTCCTAGCCCGTCCTGCTCTTTCTCCGTGCTTCTCATGTCCTTCCTATTATCCTCCCCCCTTCTCACTCCTCGTTCTCCTCCACATCCCTCAGATCTCTCCAAGATCCTCCCCTTGCCGCCCTCGTCCCATCTCTCCCCTCCTTCTCCTTCCCTTCCTCCTCCTCCCTCCTCCTCCTCCTCGCCTTTGTCAGGAGCTCGAGGCAGAGATGCATCATCAGAAGGCAGCCAGTTCAACTGCCCGGGCGGAGGAAGATATCGCTATGGACGCAAAGGCCACGAACGCACATGCTCGAGCCCGACTCACGGAGCTGGGCAAGGAGCTCGTGGCGGTGGCCAAGCACTCAGGTCCAGCCGGGGCAGCGTATCAACAGGAGCTGCAGCTCGAGAGGGATCGACTCCGAGCACGACTGTGGGATCCCAAGCCGATTTATGCCAGGGCTCGCACGGTCACAACGCCCTGGAGGCAGCAGAGAAACAGCTGGTCGAATCCAAATAGGGGCCGCAGTCCCAGAAAGAGCAGCTCGCCAAGTTGCAGGAGGCCGCTGATGAGACAAGCGCCAAGATCCAAAAGCAAGAGCAGGACATCAACATCCTGGGCCAGCTCGCCGACACCATCGACCCCCGTTGCGGGCTACCCCAAGGCGACTCGATGGCCCCCGCCACAATGACCGCCACGCTCATGCCATGGCAACCGCTGTGCTGCGGACACTGCTTCATGGACGGCCGATGCTGGTGGCCCTGGACCCCGATATTCTACGCGACGAGCCGGAAGCTACGAAACGCTCCGACCTATCCACCAGTTCCTGGCAGAACGAGAAGAAGCGTCAGGTGTGGTCGACGGCAGGCGGCGAGGACAAACTCATCGAGCACCTGGGTGTAGCGCCGAGTGGAGGCTGGACCAAGCTGTTCTCCTCCATCGTCGTCCTGGGCTCGATCCCACGCTCCCAGCAAGTACGACCCCGGCTGGCATTTGCATACGTCTGCCCTCTCTGGTTGTGAGCGTCGCCGCCAGTCGCGCCGCCTCCTCGCTCTGCTGTTAAAAGAGCCCTGGCCAGGGCGAAGCGGACGACGGGGACCTCATGGTGGTGCACGGACGGTTCTGGGGTCAGACCGCGTTGCTCCATGCAGTCTTTTCGGCGGTCATTTCTGCGATCAAGAATGACATGCATCAGAATCTGGTTTGGTCGGTTCTTGTTGAGACGTCCATCACCTACCACGTGCACGCGATCGGCTTGCAGTACGCGCGTTTCTCCCCCGCCCACGGCCTGCTCATGGAAGTGGACCCGAGCGACGACTTCAGAGTACGCGACGCAGTCAACGACCTGGTGGACGACCGCTGGAGCTTCTGGACGGAAACACCCGCGGCCGAACATGCCATCATATTGATCAGCCGTATCCGATGCATCCAGACAGTGGTCAGGTCAAGACACGACGCCGAGGAGATTGACGATGTTGATGTGACCTTGGGGTCTAGCAAAGCTTATATGAGGTGGGTGCAGAGCCTCCTGGAGGCAGATCGGACCCACTTAGCGATTCATCGATGTGGGGCCGTCACCTCGGAGACGAGGCGGCGGACAGGTTCGAATTGCAAGCACTGCGGGCATGTGATGCCCCCGTTCAGACATGTGTGGGCGGAGTGCTCGCAGCATCAAGCACTGCGCGACGAGGTGGCCCTTGAGCACAGCCTCCCACCAGGGTTGCGGACTTCTGTCCCAAGAGTGACCTTAAAGAGTGGTTGGACTACGTACTCTTCAGCCGATCAGTGGGCGGATCGAGCCCGTGCGATGCTGGCAGCATCCTAACTTGGAGTGGGTATACTCCGTCTTGCAATGTCTGAGGTACTGACGGACCCCACGCCGATGGTCTCGGCCAAGCAGCGTCGTGGAGTTCAGTGACTTCTTCATATTTCAGTTGAGCATCTACCCTATCAGGGTGCTGTTTGTCATCTGTTATATACAAGCATGCCGGCCATCGCTGAGGTGTTCGTGGAGGGGCTCGTGCAATAGAGGGGCCTGGTCACCTTCAACAAGACCAAGCTCCCATGCTCGGACCCGAAGTTCGGTAGACAGCTGGCGAACGACCTGCAGTCGGATATGCTGCCCGTCCAGGCCGTGCAGGATGCGGTGGGCTTGGGCGGCGACGCGCCAGCTGGCAGGAGGCGCTGCGTGAAGAAGCAGCGGCTACACCTTGGCTTGGCCAAAGGAGGAGGAAGAGGAGGAGGAGGAAGAGGAGGAGGAAGAGGAGGAGGAGGAGGAGGAAAAGGAAGAGGAGGAAGAAGAGGAGGAAGAGGAGGAGGAGGAAGAGGAGGAGGAGGAGGAGCCCCTGGAAGCGCGCTGCCTCTGGAGCACGGGGGCGAGCCCGCAGGCCACCTGCGGGCACCAGCGGCAGGGCCTGGCGCCGTCGCGCCTCGAGGAGATCCGCAGGCAGGCGGGCGCCGCGGCTGCGGGCCAGGCAGGCGGCCGCTGCCTCACCACGGTGCTGGCGGCCACGCTGGCGGAGGACCCAGGCGTGCAGCTGCGCGCCCAACCGCACGCCAGGATCACGAAGGCGTGGCGCACTGTGAGGCTGGCGCCGGCCGCTGACGGCCCTGCTCCGCGTTGGGCGAGGGTTCGAGGGCCCATCGGTGCTGTCCAGGCCACTCTAGGACATCGGCTTGGAGTCTCGAACGGCCACGCGCTGGATACGCCCAGAGCATGGGGATCGCTGGGAGCAGCAGGCCCGCCTGACCGAGACGAGCGAGAGACGGCGGTCCGAATCCATGGTCCATGAGAACCAACCTGGTCTCTGGCTCCGTGGGCTTCCGTCTCAGGACATCGCTTACCCGATTTTCGAAGATGCCAAACTCCAGGAGACGACCCTCAGGTTTGGCGAGGGGAGCCTGGATGATAATTGGGAGGGTGGGACGGTGACAGTGTTTGAGGACGGGTCGGGAGAAATGTTTTCAGATGATCCCAGGAGGGTCCGCTGTGGAGCGGCGGTCGCGACCATCCAGCGGACCCCTGAGGGAGGGTCGCTAGGCGCGATGATAGCAGTGCCTGCACGTGGAGCCCAGCAGCGCCCCGAGGGCCGAAACGTTGGCGTTGGTTGTAGCCTTGGAGAACACCACTGGGGACCTCCATTACGTGACTGACCATGCTGCGCTCGTGGATTCGTGGGCCAAGCGCAGCGTGATGTGCGTCCGTCCGCGGTGGCAAGAATGAAGGTCCGCGGCTGCAGGGTCCGGCAGGCCCCCGGCCCCCGAGGCCCCAGACAGGTCAGCCTCGAATGGGTGCCCCCACATGCCGAAGTGAACCTTGAGGCCTGAGCACGAGTGGGGACTGTCGCGCGGCCGCAGGCAACATGATCGCTGATGCGGGGGCGGGGAGGGCGGCGGCGGTGGCGTAGGAGGCTGCCTGCCGCAGGAGTGCTGGACCAGGCGGGCGCCTGGGGTGCGATCGGCTGCCCTGGTCCGAGCCCGGGCCCGCAGGCCCCCCTCCGGCCGGCCCCGTGGAGGCAGCTGGCAGGCGGGCGGAGAGAGGCCGTCTCGCTCTCGCCTCAACCTCCTGCTCGCCCAGGCTCCACACGTCCTCCCAAGTCGGTGTGGGGGGGCGGGGGGGGATGGCAACGCACGGCCTGCGAGCAGGTCGTCAGGGATGCCGTGGCGTGAAATCGGGTGCGTGGCCCCCCAGATTCCCAGGGCTCCGGCTGCCAGCTCGGCGCCGTGCACAAAATCGGGTGCCCAGGGTGCGAGTGTGGAGGTGAGCGCCCACTGCACACGCGGGAGATGAGCTTCTGGCCGATATGTGTTTGCTGCAGTCGTGTGCGGTGTGGGGGGCAGCTTCGGCACGGTGGGCTTTCGCCATGTAACCGAGCCCTGCCCTGGCAAGATCCGTAGAGGGCAGGAAAACCTGTCGCGAATGAAGAAAGGCCTCTACAGGGCCGTTTTGAATACATAGGACTTTTAAAAATATAGGATTTGTAATACATGATTCATGTATGAATAAATGCACGCATCGTTGTTTTAAATACTAAATCCCTGCATTTGTCATACATGATCCGCACGCGGAGCATGTATTAAAAAACGGCACTGTACCCTTGGAGGGAGGGGTCCCCAGCTGCGGTGATTGAGGCCCTCCACCGTGCGAAACATGAGGAGGCCACTGCGGCAAGGGGCCACCGAGGCTCCGAATCCTCCTGAGGCTGTCGTAGCGATATCGCCGGTATCAGTTTACAGACATGGGGTTTCCAGCGTGCTCCGGAAAGATTGACCACGCACAGGAGTCTTAGGCGAGGCACGCAGATGCGGTCTGCTCGCGGCGCTGTCCGTTGGCCTCGGCTCTCGGCAGCGTGGCGTGCCAGGCTGCGCCGCATGAGCGGCTCTATTACTTAGAATCCTCCTCCCCCTCCTACCCCTATCCCTCCCCCTCCCCCTCCCACTCCCCCTCCCCTCCTCCTCCTCCTCCTCCTTCTCCTCCTCTTCCTCCTCCTCCTCCTCCTCCTCATCATCCTCCAAGCTCCGCCGTGGCGGCCCTCACCTGGGCCTCGACCACCTCGCGGACATTATCCGAGCCGCTCGCCGAGGACGTCACTGAAGCTCAAGAAGATCGACGACACCCATCGTGAGACCAGAACCCCAGCCTGCGCCAGAGACGGCCTGAGCCTACGCATTGGCCCAGGACCAAGGCCCAGACAGCCCGAGCCCAAGAGACAGATTTGCCATGACATGTACACGTGCCTTTGCTAATGTCCTCAGGAAATCATAGGCCAGCGATATCACTCATCTTCTAGCCTACAAACACGTATGCTGTACCAAAAACGCTGTTCTCCGTAATCGTCAGTAGCCGCCTCATCAACACTATCATCACCATCATCACCATCATCATCATCATCATCAGCAGCAGCATCAGCATCAGCATCATCATCACCATCATCATCATCATCATCATCAGCATCATCATCATAAGCATCATCATCATCATCATCATCACCATCAACATCGCCATCATCATAATCATCATCATCAGAGGCAGCATCGTCATCGTCGTCAGCATCATCATCGGCATTATCATTGTCGTCACCATCATCGTCATCGTCGTCAGCATCATCATAATCATCATCGTCATCAGTAACATCCATCTATTTCATCATCATCAGCATCAGCAGCAGCCGCATCATCGTCACCATCACCCTGCCGTCGGGATCGTCATCATCAGCGTCATCATCATCACCGCCACCACCACCATCATCATCATCATAATCATCGTCATCGTCATCATCATCAGCATCACAATTATCAGTATCATAACCAGTATCAGTGTCGCCATCATCATGATCATGATCATGGTCATGATCATTATCACCACCAACATCGTGAACATCGTAAGCATCACCATCCTCATGATCATGAGCATGGTCATCGTCATCATCATCCCAAGCAACACTACTAGAATAATCAACATCAGCATTCTCCTCATCGTCATCCTCATCCTCCTCGTCGTCGCCATCGTCATCGTCACAGTCATCACCGCCACGATCACGTTCGCCACCATATCCCTCATCGTCAGCATTACTGGCATCTTCACCGCTGCCATTCTCACCTTCCTCCATATCGCCAGCGGCATCACCATCAGCACCATAGTCACTAGACTCGCCGACACCAGTATCAACAACCCGCACGGGACATATGATAAGAAATCTTGCTGTAAGAAACATCGGGACACACTGTTCGTCTATGCAGTCTCTGGGGCCACCGGGGGATAAGACAAGTCTGCGGGGCATCTCATGGCAGGGCGACATTGTGATTGATGTGCCTAGTCAATGGATCCGCGCGAAAGTGCGTGCTTTTGTTTCTTTTGACGAAGAGGTTGCGTCACTTGAATCAATCGCGGACTCTTGAGCCTTGCCACTCATTGTCATCGCTGCCGTCGTCGTGAACATCAGCATCGTCCACCAGCCTGAGACATGGTCCTGCGCAAGAAAGGTCGTACTGAGGAAGATGTGCTAACGAGGTGGCGCCGACCACTTCAATCAGGGCACGCTGAGTGTTGCAAATAGGTTACGGGTGAGAGGGTGGGATTGTTTCTGGGGAAAGGCAGGTATCTCGAGCATTGGAACAGCAATTGCCGCTTATCCCTGGTCCCTCCTCCCTCATTCCCCCCTCCCCGACCCCCAACCCCTCTTCACCTCCTCATCATGTACCCCCTCCCCCTCCCCCCTACACCTTATCCCTACCCTGATCATCTTGTTCCTTATGATCTTCGTCAGCGTCCTGCTCATCACCATTTCACAACCATAGCCACCACAACCATCATCATCATCACCGCCATCATCATCATCATCATCATCATCATCATCATCATCATCATCATCATCATCATCATCATCATCATCATCATCATCGTCAGCAGCAGCATCATCGTCATCATCACTATCAGCACCATC